TTGGGTGTTCGTGAACTTTTTCTATCTCATTCTTTTTCTTTTGGGTCCAATTTTTTTGATTTCTTTTTGTTCGATTTTTTGAATTTTTGTTCCTAAATTTTCGAAAATTCAATAGTATCAAAAAATAAAATAAAAAAATAAAGTGTCATCTAGTCTTTTTGTTTGATTTTTTCGGTTATTATCTTTTGTTGAGGGGCTGAATTTCTCTTCTTTTTGGGTCGAAATTTTCGAAATTCTTGTTTGAATTTTTCATTTATTTTTCAAATTTTTTTTAGTCTTAAAAAAAAAAGAGTCATGACGAATCGTGAGAGATTCGATGCGCTTGAGGAAAGCGTGAGGTCCCTTGGCAACGGACAACACGTGGTCAATGAAAACATGGCAAAGTTGGAGCTAATGATACACGACTTGGCGGGACAGCTCGAGAGAGTCAACCACCATACACGGAGGAGCCGCACATCGAGATCAACCATGGCGGGAACGGGCAGTTCGACGTCTAGTCGCGATGACGACGACGAACAGTCGCAGGGAACGCAGGCGATGCGCACTACCCAACACCACGGCGATCGCAGGACGCATGGCCATCGGCATCATCGCGAGGAGCGCGTAAGTGCGAAACCGAAGATTACGATGCCAACGTTCGAGGGAGTGGATCCGGATGCATGGTTAAGTCGTGCCGTGCAATTCTTCGAGATCAATGAGGTACACAAGTCTACAAGAGTTCAAATTTCTGCCTACTACTTGGATGGGGAGGCCAACACATGGTGGCAATGGGTGTCAAATGTTTATAAAAATAAAGGCGAGCAAATCAGATGGCGCGATTTTGAGAAGGAGCTGATTGCCAGGTTTGGATCTAGCGAATACTTTGATTATGATGAGGCGCTGACAAGGATCCGCCAAACCGGTAGTCTACGCGATTACCAAAAGGAGTTTGAGAGGATAGCAAGCCGAGTTCGAGATTGGCCCGAAAAGGCACTAGTAGGTGCGTTTGTAGGAGGCTTAAAGGCTGAGTTTGTAATATCCCGATATTTTATCGGTATAAATTACGTTTCAGTTCCGATATAATAACGTTATCGTTTATTATTTTCGGAATTAATTATTTTCAGTCGAGATTACCGAAATCTATTTTCGACGTACCGTTTACATTCGGAATAATTTTGGTAATTAAGTATTATGCCTAATTATTTAATTAAGTATTTAA